GAGTATAACATTATAACATGATATAAAACTCAAAAAAGTTGATTTTACATTATATTGCCCCTTTAAAGTTAAAACAACTAAAAGAGAAACTTAAATCATCAAAATAATAAGTAAAAGCTGAAAATAGAAAAATTAGCCATATGCGACAATAACAAAACTCTATTAAAGCTAAAATTACTAAACCATTTACTTAAAGCTGAAATAAGCAAAACTGGAGCTAAAAGCTACTAAAAAGGCTAAATTGGATCTAAAAGCTATAAAAAACTAAACGAAAGCTAAAAACTAGCAAAACATTGGTTAAAAGCTAAAATAACCAAACTTGTAGCTAAATGCTAAAAATAAAAAGCTAAAATGAGCAAAATCGTAGATAAAAAGTTAGAAATTAGAAAACCTGTAGCTATTTCCTGTGATGGACTTGACACCAGTCCAGGTTGTCCCCAGGCCCCGCCCCTCACCAGTGACTGCTGGATATGGGCACCAGTGACACCCGTGACCCTGAAAAGGAAAAAGCAGGTAAAAGCTGATGAATAGTTGTAGCTAAATGCTAAAATGAACAAATCTTAGGCTAAACGCTAAAACTAGCAAAACATTAACTTAAAGCTAAAAGTAGAAAAATTATATCCTAAAGCTGCAATTAGTGTAATTGTAGCTAAAACATAAAATTAGCCGAACTGCAGCTAAAATGAGCATAAGGGGACAGAAATAGAGCAAGTACAGTATGATGAAGTAGTTTTCAGGGAACATTGTTTTTCTGTTTGGACATTTGATCCATTTTTTGTAAATGAAAATAAACAATTTGAGAAATAAAAAGTTAGAAATATCTAAATTCCATGTGGACAGATACATTCACAATGAAACATAGTTTGCAGTTTCGCTGTGTTATTGGACTCATTAAGTAAAACTGTATTAAGTATGTGGTCTTTGTAGACACCTGCAGGCATGGCTCCCAAGACGGCAGGCCTCACGGTCGGCACACAGCCCGCCATCATGAAACCCACGGAGGAGCCTCCGGCCTACTCGCAGCCTCAAACACAGGTAGGACTCAACACAGGCAGAGCCTCTGCCCACAGGAACAGTTTGACTAAACAAGAGCAGAAACATCAGTGATACTTTGAGAATATGTTGATAACTTAAAATGAAGGTCTGCAGTGAAGTTCTTCAACAGTTAACATCATGAAGCTTCTTTATGTGGTGTTTTAACTGTAACAACAGAACGGTTTGAGTCAGCAGGAAACACTTTTCAGATTAGAGATGAAATGGGCTGTGGATAAAACCTGGAGCGTTCAGTTTACCTGTCTTGGTCCAGGACAGCAGGTGCAGCAGCCAGATCACAAGGTGGAGAATTAAAATGTGTTGACGATCTGTCAAAACAAAGAGTTCATCCAATGTGTATGAGGCAAATTCTGTCAGGGGATTCTGATGTTGTCAGTCCATGAAATGGACGTTCTTAGGTGTTATCAGTCCCATACAATGGCTTCAGAGGGTCCCTACTGTGCCTTCTAGGCTTCAGACTGTCCCGACAGTGCCCCCTAGTGGGTTAATATATTAATGACAATGAGTGTGTAAATAACCAAAGCATATTGTAATAATTTTTTGTGTCCATGTCGGACTCGAACCCTGGACTTCCACTCTCTGGTCCGACACTATTCCCATTGCCTTATTGAAAGGCCACAATATACATCTGTCGGAGGTTAGTGCTAACCATATCATCTGCTCTAAGGTTAACCTTGGTGGCTTTAAGCCTCGTATTAACCAGATTTTTTATGCGTCATGTTAACCAGATAGTGGTTTTATGCCTCATATTAACCAGATAGTGGTTTTATGCCTCATATTACCCAGATAGTGGTTTTATGTCTCATATTAACCAGATAGTGGTTTTATGTCTCATATTAACCAGATACTGGTTTTATGTCTCATATTAACCAGATAGTGGTTTAATGCCTCATATTAACCAGATAGAGGTTTTATACCTCATATTAACCAGATAGTGGTTTTATGACTCGTGTTAACCAGATAGTGGTTTTATGACTCATGTTAACCAGATAGTGGTTTTATGACTCATGTTAACCAGATAGTGGTTTTATGACTCATGTTAACCAGATAGTGGTTTTATACCTCATACTAACCAGCTGATAACAATCAGAAACCATTCTATGGGACGGGGAACCTGCTAACCGGCACAGACGGGACATTCTGAAGCCATTCTAGGGGACTGATAACGCCTAATAACGTCCATTTCATGGATGATAACATCCGAAGCGGGTGATTCTGTCCAACTTATTGTATATTTTGTTGTGATTAATCAGGTTTTTCCTCAGATAAATCATGCTTTTGACTCGTCCACCTAACACTTGCCCTAGTTCAGGTAAACTGCAGTCAATGCCAAAGATTTCTCATATCAAGTGGAGCGGAAAACTGAAAATAAAACCAAAATGGATGAGTTGGTTCATCACCTTTGTGGGCTTTACCCCAAACAAGAAGACACAAAGTTTGCACATTATGTGGCAACAAAAAAACACCGGGCCTCATGTAAAAACATTTTTTTATTCTTAAACTAAATTTCTCTTACTTTTTTCAAACAAAGGGTTCGTACGAACATGCCACGTCAGGTTCAGCAAATGCTTCTAACTTCAGGAAAATTGTGTAAATGAGCTGTGTAAACATGATGAATGCCACCTGTACCTCACAAAAGATAGGATTTTATAACAGTGGAGAACAACTTGAACTAGAAAGTAAGGAAGTAAGTAAAGTTTTATTTATATAGCACCTTTCACAGAAATAATTTCACAAGGTGCTGTACAATCAGGGGAGGGGGCAGTTAAGACAGGTCATGCAGCAAAACACAGTTGCGCTATCTTAACAACAGAACAACAGAAAAACTAAAAAAACACACGAGGGAAGATGAAGAAAAAAGCAAAAACATCATATTATATCAACACTGTGACACACTATGGTGTTTATGAAAAAAAACTCTGCATAGGGCAGATTTATTAGCCAGAGGAATAAGTTTAGAGGGGCCCGAAGAATCCAGTCCCCAGAACCAGCCCAGCCATAGTTCAGAATATTGATGTAACTGTTCACTCTGTGTGGCCCTCAGCCTGCTCAGGAAACCAAATCAGACAGGTGAGAGAGGAGTGGGGAGGTGGGGGGCAGAGCCTCGTCGACGTAATCCAGCCAGGAAGAATTTAGTCAACAGATCAAGGTCGTTGTCGGGGAGATCCAGATTCTGTAATCAGTTGTTTTGGGAACAGAAAGAGACACGCAGACAACAACAATTTTCCATCTGCTTTAGTGTTCTGCTGGTGCATCTCAAGGTGTTGAATCCTATCAGACAAATAATGTGGACAAATTCCACCGAGCCGATCTATCAGCTTCTCCCAGATCAATTCCATCTGGCCAGCAAAGTCCAGGGACCGCAGCCGGCCCGCAACCCTCAATAGAACCGCTTACAGACCGAGTCCAGCTCGCTCAAGGCAAATATCCGAGTGCTGATAGAATACGGCCGTCCATCAAATTGGTCAGGCAGCCAGGAGATGAACAGCCACCGACGCTGTTTTGTAGAACACCAGGAGACCACCCAGTCAATCTGCAGAATCCAGTGATCAGAGTCCAGATATAAACCAGAACAGAGAAGAACAGAGGTCCCACCTTTAACATGTACTACAATGGAAGAAGAAAAACTTTGGTCCAAAAATTTTATTGAGAGACCAGCTGACCAAATCCATAAAAATTGAAATATCCATAATTTCTAGTTTCGGATGAAAAATGTAGAGAAGCCTCCTTGCAGCAAAGCAGGGAAAGATAAGGAAGGGCAGGAGAGAAGGAAAGAGTGTCTTACTCCTCCGAGAGCTGGAGGGGGGACTGTCATGACTAACTGCTTCGTTCTTTCAGTTTTTACATAAACACACGTTATAAGAATAGCTCAGTGATATTTTACAAATGAATTATATATTGAATATGAATGTAAAAGTAATGTATAATGTAAACATATGAAAGTTTTTTTCTTTTTTCTGGACTGTTTACGAAGTAGAAAAAGCAAACTGAAAAGCAAGAGCCAGAAACCAAACGAAAGTGTGGATTTTGTGAACCAATAGTTGTCTTGATGCATCCGAGTATAGAAAGCAGAGCGTAGCACCTTTTTTGTTTACTTCTACACTGCTTAACAGGATTCTGACGTTGTGCCCAGTGTATTAACTGTAGAGCTGCTTTTATGCTGACTATCAGCAAAAAGCATCTCTGTTGGAGGCAGTTTGTCTCAGAACATTCTGCATACAGACTCTAAAAGAAACCACTGCTTGTGAAGGAAATGACTTCTGGTGCAACTTGTTTATGAAGGCAGTCTACTGGAAACATGTTTTTAAAAAATAACAAGTAGAAAAATATACTTGTTCCAAACGTCAGAATAAAAACATCCCATGATCTAAAATTAAAAACTGTTGGCAAAATGTATCATGGAGAGATGATGGCTGTTTGTTGTGTGCACAGGAGTCGTCACAAGCAGCTGCTGAGCTGCTGAAGAGGCAGGAGGAGCTGGAAAGGAAGGCTGCAGAGTTGGACCGCCGGGAGAGAGAGATGCAGTCACTCAGTGCTTCAGGAGGTCAGAATGAGCCAGTAAATCACAACAGAGCAGTGATGTTTGCAGAAAATCTGCACACACTTACAGTAGCTTTGACTTTCTACGTCACACTCATACATGCTGCACGGTGTTCAAGTTA